AATTGTTTAATGAGAAACTAATTTTCTCTGTAAACCTTCATCTAAAGTACAATAAAAAAAGAGAGGAAAAAAAAAGATAGCTATTGATATTACTATTACTATTGTCAATAATAAAAAGCATAAGAAGTGTGTGGAAAAGGTAAGGTACTGCCTACTTGTTCACCATTTCTGTCATACCTTTCTCTTAAGCTCAGCTGCCTTATAACCCTCTGTGCTGCTGCTTCTTTTTATTTTTATGAAAATATACACAACAGAACATACACCACTTCAACAATTTCTACATGTAAAATTCAGTGACACTGGTTACATTCTTTAGGTTGTTCTACCTTTCTCAGCAACCTTATCCAAGCTATTTCACCATCATTAACACAAACTCACTGACCACCTAAGCTGCTCATTTATCTTTTCAAGTTGCTGTTGTCAATTTGATCACATATAGATAATTCTTTAAAAGAATATAATGCTTAATGCAGACATTTTTTTCCAATTAAGCTAAACTATTATTTGGTTCAAAGATGACTTTAGGGGATAGTCTCGGTTCAAGGTTTAAAGATTTCCTCAGGGTAATAGTTTTGGGTAATCATCCAGCCCCAGTGGCTCCAGAAAGGCTGGATTCCATGATAATTTTCAATTATGTTCCACATTTTCTTCCTTTTGACCAGGATTCATCTATAGAATCCTTGATCTAACTGTTCAGTAATGGCAGCTGGGCATCATCCAGTTCTTCTGGTTTCATGGTAAAGGAGGTAGTTGTTCATGGAGGCAATTGGACACATTCCATTTCCACTACTGATTCCTGACCCTCCTTCTTCCTCTGGTGTTCCCAGGGAATGGAGAGCAATTGTTGTACCTTGGATACCCTCTCGAAACTTTTTAAGACCCCAGGCCTCTGTGCTTCTTCTTTAAGGAGGTCAAAGCAAGCAAGCTACATGTAGTACCTTAACCTGCTAACCCTGCTAGAACTTTTAAAAGCTGAGAGAGTGATGCTTCACTGTACAAGAACTCTTGATGAAATGACAGGGGCTGGAACAGGCAAGTGGGGGTGAGATTCGGAGACAGCCTTCCTGGCTCCCACAGACTGTCACTTGGTAGATGACCTTCCCCACTACCTACAGCAATGGGAGCCCCAGGTCAAGCCTGGCAGGTGAAGGGCTGAGAACCTGTTCTACAAAGCTTGACATGATAACCTGCTGAAACGCTACATTACCTTTGCCCTACATTCTCATTAACGGGCGTGACTGGAGAGGTACTGTCTCTCACGTCGAGGTCACGGGCACTCTTTGCAGCTTTAATTGCACGGTTGTAAACTTTGTCAAGTTCTTCCATGATAAACTTCAGATCTGAGCAAAGATGAGGAGCAGCCGTGAAACGCCAGAACAAGGAGGGCAGGTACAAGAGGATCGCAAGCAGTAACAGGATGTAGGGGAAAAACTGAAAAAGAAGAAAATATCATGGGACAAACAGAGATGTCCCACCCAACACACGCGCACACACTCACACACACACACACACACACAGAAGTAACCAAACTTAAGGGCTGCTCTCATTTTTTCTCACTGAGACACATGTGCACGACCATGTTTCTTGTGGAGAGCAGGCTCACTACCTAATAACTACTTCTTATGGCTAAATTCACCTGCCCAGGTAACACCTGATACCTTTTTTTCTTCAACAGACATTAATTTGAAGAAACAGAGAACTACATGGTGACACATGGTGTCTCTAATCACAGAAGAAAAAAAAATTACTCCCATGTTCTTCAGCATAATCCCTGAACAAAATTCCAATTAAGGAACAGGTAAAGATCACAAGGACCTCTGCTGGGTTTTTTGTTTTTGTTTGAATTGTTGTGGTTTTAAGAGACAACTAAGGGTTAGAGCTGTCTTTTGTCTGTTTGTTTTGTTTTGTTTTTCCTCTCTGTAGAATCCGGGAGAATCCCATAGAACCATATAACTCTGCCTAAAACGAATTAGGGAAATTTTGGCTTTAGTGAGCCAGGAATCATCCCAGTAAAACTGCTGAAGTAAACAGTTAAAATTCACAGAATGCTAGTGTAGGAACGGACCTTGAGGACACTCCAACACCTTTGTTTTACAGTTGGATAATTTCAAGTCCAGAGAAGCTGACCACAACACGCAACAGTATCTCGAGAAAAGCAATGGATCTGGGGGTATGCACGAAACACACCAGAGAGGATTTGGAAAGTCAGGGAGCAGCCTGGCAACCCTGTCTGCTGTGGGGTCAGGACATGTGTGGCCTCAAAAGAAGACTCAGGAAGACCATGAACTGCAGTCAGCGCAGACCTGAATCCAAGCTCCGCCAGTACCAGTTGAGTGGCCTTGAGATCCTCTGATCCAGAGAACCTCTGACCTTCAGTTCCCCTATGAAACGGTAATGTAATATGAGGTAAGTCAAAAGGCATTGCTACGAAATAACAGAAACCCTTATTAAACAAAAATACCAAAATGTGGAAGCTACTGTTTCTAGACACATCCTCCATCTAGGTCTATACACTTCTGCAGGTGGTGTTTCCATCTCTCTAACCCTTCCCCGAAGAATTCTGCACTCTTCATTTACACCATGCCAAAACAGCAGTTTTGGAATCCTCGAGGGACTCAAATCATGTTCCTTTTAAATGTTCTTTGATTTCTGGGAACAAAAAGAAGGCCGAAGGGGCAAGATCAGGGCTGTAGGATGGATGGGGTAAAGTTTCCTAACAAAATTCTCGTAGGACAGCCCTTGCTACCCTCGAAGAACGAGTAGGTACATTGTCGTGATGGGAAAAAAGTCCTCAGCACAATTTTCCTGGCCTTTTTCTCACCAATGCAGTTTTCAGTTTTCTTAAAACTTCTTCATAATGAGCCCTTGTGATCATCCTGTATCCTTCGAGAAAATCTATCAAGATTATCCCTTCGGAATCCCAAAACACAACTGCCATAACCTTCTGATTGGTCTTCCCTCTCTTGGCTCATCTTTGAGGTCTTCCTGACCTTCCGTAAAATGCTTGATCCATCTAAAAACTGTTGTTTTATGTGGGGCAGCATTCCCATAAACTTGCTGCAAAGATTCAATGACTTGGAAAGATGTCACTTGAGTTTTGTTAAAAATTTGATACTAGCCCTGACCTCAAAATCGTTTTTTTCCATGACACAAAAAAGTATTCCTGTTTTTGAAGGCAACCTAACGAGACTAAGACAAGTGTATTACTGAGAGAACCTGTCTGCAGCCATCCACTGATCGCAGAGACATGTTTAAACATGTTTTGTTTGGAATAAACTCATGCATGCATAAACTGGAATCCTAGTAGCAATACTTTTTGACTTAGCCTCGTACAGGTGTTAAGGAGATTAAAATTGATGATTTACGAAAAAATGCTTAGCATGGTACCTGGAATATAATAGGCACTAAAAAATACCAGCTAAAACCAACAAAAGGGCCACCTAGATGACCACGTTATTGTCTTCAGTTGTTGTCACAACGATCCTGGCAAGGCCTGTGTTGACAGCTCCATTTCGCAAACGAGAAAGAGAAAGAGTAGAGCGGTTTCCGGGCCCCAGATCACAAAGATGGTAAATGACAGAGTCAGAATCTGAACCCGGACCTCTCTAACCCCAGAGCTATGCCTTTTCCACCATAATCCATTGCTGTCAATTCCGACACACAGTGACCCTACAGTACAGAGTAGAACCGCCCCATAGGGTTTCCTAGCCTGTAATCTTTACGGAAGCAGACTGACACATGTTTCTCCCACAGAGCGGCTGGTGCATTCGAACTGCTGACCTTTCAGTTAGCAGCCAAGTAATTAACCACTGCGCCACTAGGGCTCCTTTTTTCCCCACCACGAGACACTGTAAATTACTTTACTTCCCTGGAACACTTTTTCCTACCATAGGATTGGTTTATCCTTACAGCTCCTCAGAGCTGTAACTAAAAGAGGCCACAATGGCCTTGGAGATGACACAAAACCCCCACCCCAAACATCTCTGGGAGTGGGGGAGGGACCCAACACTATGGCCCTCACTGCAATTTCAGATGCTCAGAAAAGTTGTAAAGACAGCAGAGTGTTCCCACATACCCCTCACCCGCTTTCCTCCATCGTTAACATCTTACATTTCCATGGTACATTTGTCAAAACTAAGGATACAACACTGGCTCATTTCTATTAACCAGACTCCAGACTTCATACGGATTTCACCAGCTTTTCCATTATCATCCTCTTTCCATTCCAGGACCCAATCCGGGGCACCACACTGCATTTAAGTTGTCATGTCTCCCTTGTTTCCTCAGTTCTGTGGAAGGTCCTCATCTTTCTTTGTTTTTCATGAAGAAGCCCATTTTAAATGCACAAAATAATTCAGAATCACAAAGGAAACAGATTATATTGATATAAAATTATCCAAAAGGTTAAAAAAACCAATTTGTATGTATTCTTTATTAACACATTAAATAGTATCTAACAGATGGTGTAGCACCTACTTTAACTTTGAAGTGTTGTTATTGTTACCTGCTGTCCAGTCAGCCCTGAACTCATGGTGACCCTATGTACAACAGAATGAACACGCTTCCCAGTCCTGCGCCATCCCCGTGATCAGTTTCGGATTGAACCATTGTGATCCATGGGGTTTTCACTGGCTGATTTTTTGGAAGCATATCGCCAGGTCTTTCTTCCTAGTCTTAGTCTGGAAGCACCGCTAAAACCTGTTCAGCATCATAG